TATACTGCTTCTGGGTTACCACATTGTTTAACACTGAAATAATGAGTACAATTACAGGGTCTGAAGAATCTAAATACTGTTCCTCTATCAACCAGCAGGGGGCAATGTGGCTTCAGCTCAGAGTCCAGAGCTGACTGGCTGCTGTAGCTCTCTTTGTATCCATCCATTGGGTTTGATGTGTTTGTGGGGCTCAATGCTAAGTTTGAATTATTTCATAATTGTATTAAGCGGCAAGTGTGTCAATGAAACATTTAAAACATAGTCAAACCTCATATTTGTTCTAATGACCAATGGGGTCGGCCCAATCAGAACACAAGAAGCAATGCACCATGACTTCCAAATTTACTGACAGGTCTTATATTGCGCATACTTACACTTATAAACTTTACGATTAATGTTTGCTGGTTCTGTACAAAGATGTATCCATACTTAAACCAATTTTCAATAAAATCAGCTTATATGCACAAAAAAAGCTGATTTTCCATTTCAAATTCAAAAGTCATATCAATTATGCCTGAACTTTGTGTGGAGGAATATAAACATACAGATTGGACCTGTAATAATAATAATAATAATACAAAGATTATTTTCCATACAAACATGGTCTCTTAACATTTCAATATAATCACTAATGAACATGTCACAAAGGCTGGCGAACACAATGGAGCATTTAGCTGCTAAAGAAACATATTTCCTTCATCAGTTGGTGGAGACCAAAAACAGAGCTCAAATGAGAGGGATTATCAAATTTACATAGTGACCTTAAACACAACTCCAAATGAATGCAAATTTTTGGCGGTGATACAAAGTTCGGAGAATCCTAAACTTAAAATGACAGCGTAACACTATTCAGGGAATCTGACTTCATGGTTGGCATGTTTTGGTGAATGTTGTTGTGTTTGTTTATGGGCTGTACATCTTTAATATGAGTAGATCATCATCTGAGTGGCAAAGATGACAGCGAGGCACTTATTCTCTTTCAAACACACACACTCACCGTTCCAATGACCTCCATAGTGAGTACAGTAATGCCCCATTTGATAGCACAAGCACTCTGACTAATGTTCTGTCACCACACGCACACACACACACACACACACTCTTCTTGGCTCCCATATTTCTAATCCCTTTACAGTGTGTGTCACACCAACATGCATTTGGCACACACACTCTGTCACCTAATCAATGATAATGGAATCACTGTGTATCCTGCCTGGTAACACAAGCCTCTCTGTCATTAACATGCTAACCTAAACTTTCGGTCACACACACGTACACATGTTTGCATGTAGGAACATGCATGTACAATCAACAGCCTGCTAAGCCAGATGCAGTAGATCACTGCATTGCGGAAATCCTCAAACAGGGTTGGATGATCATTTTCTTTTATGTTTAATGCTCCAAAAGTCTATATTTTTATATAAACAAGGAACCAAAAGACTTTGAGTAATAAAAAGGTGTCACTTTAATTAAATAACACATACCGTTTGGTTTATCACTCTCATCATCATCAGCATAGACAGCTATCATATTAGTGGTGTTGTGCAACAGAAGAAGTCACTCCGTCAATAAGCTTAGTTTATTTTGCGCAGATGCGTGAATGAATTTCACTTTACCGCTTCCTGGTGTGACCGGGCAATCTGCTGTGCATCGACAACACACTTTAAGAAATGCACACACGTTCTTCTTGGGTCCAAAATGTTTGACCTGGTCCAAATAGGGCATATGGAAATGCTTCCGAAACCTGACATGCATACGTTAACGTTTAAAAAAAAAAAATGACACTTGATCTGAAAGGGACCTGGCAGCAGTGTGGTGATCAATAAAGGAACAGCAGAGCATGGGATAATTCACACGTATCCAGACTGGATCCTATCTGACCTAATTAGACTAAAGGTTGTGACGACACCTCCTGCTTCCACTACTCTGCATGGAGGTCAGTGAGAGGAGGTTCACCTGGGCTGCTGTGCTGGGAAGCCTTTAAAAGCCGGTCTGCTCAGTCCCCGTCAAACACTCAGCTCCTGCATGGTCTCCATTGGTGCGGTGTTAGTTTTTACAGTCGCAGCTCATCCATGCACACACGAACATTACCGAATTCACAGATATGTCACATAATACGTGTAATGTTTTAGTTTCCTTTACCAAATTATCACATTTGTATCAAATCACACGTGTGTCGTGTGTGTCTTCCTCCTCCTTTGTCTGAGCCATGAGCCAGTTTATAACCCAATGATTTTTAGGATATCTTACAAAGAGTTACTCCTCTTTTTTCGAGCTTTTCCAAGTAAACTTGTGTCTTCACAAGAAACAACTCAGTTATAGATTACGCTTAAGGCAACAAAACCACTTAGTTAGGTTTAGGAAAAGATCATCACATACTGAGTTAGGTTTGGTAACACAACTTTAGTTAAAATAACTAGTGCCGCTACTAAAGTACGCAAGTTACTTGATAAATCAACTTTGACTTCACTTTTCACATGGGGAACAAACAGCGGTCTCCTGGCTGAAAGATGAGTGTTTGTTTGACCCCTCCTGTGGCCTTTTGCAGTCTTAAACGTACATGGGATATCTACAAATTAAGGCTCATTACTTTTTGTAGGTATAGCTATGAATGCTGAATGAGACCAGACTATATACCCATAAAAAATGGATCACGCCTGAACCAGATCTGGCGTAGGTCTTGGTTTCTAGGGAACCGTGTGAAACGAACACCGATTATCCAAACGCGCACCAATCATGTCCCTCTGATAGCTACTGTGTCCCAAAAACTAACAATATCCAGCATGGTTTTAACCATGGATGGGGTTAACTTCCCATAATCACATTTGTGGATTGGATAATTAATTAATGCACTGCATATGCCAATGAGTGCAGTACACACATTTCTACAGAAAGTGAAAATATAGACTTTGATACTACTTCTTTGACACATTTGAGAGAGTGTAAGCGGGATAACAACGTAGAAAAACATTATTGCACT